CAAAATGCAATAAATCCACTGAATCAATATAAAAGTTCTTTTTCATATTGAAACTGTTGAAAATACACAACATGGTTAATCCTCATATGACTAATGTCAATACTAATCTTATATACAGGCACTGGACTAAAAATACATTTAATCAGTCATCGCTCCCAAAATGAATTTAACGGGTCATCTTGGTAATGCTATAAATTAATTACAGCAAAAAAATTACATTTCATCATGAACAAGAACATGAACAACAATATCACATTAGACCACAGAAATTCCAAAATGACATTTCCCTTACATTCAACTTCCAAAAGTGCATTCATCTTTGCCATGTTACATTCATTTAGTTAACTAGTGCTATACACTGTATTAACAAAAACATAAATGGCATTAATAAAAACACTTACACTGACAAGCTACGCAATAATCTCATCTGCAATTATGAACGCGATATTGCATAGCTTGTCAGTGATCTATGGCTCTGTGTATCCATCTGAAAGTGTGCGATGGAAATTTACTATTAATCACAGAACCTGCTTTACTGACGAGATGCGCATGACAATCACATGCAATTTATCGTGCAGCCCTAAGTTTGTTTGTTGATTACAAAGTAGATGAGGAAAACTAGGATGCCGGGTGTATTCAAAGCACCGCCATTACTGTCTAGAGTGCGTGGAATGGTGCGCTGTGATTGGTTGAGCGGATATATCGCATTCTGCAGAGAAGGGAGACTGGTGTTTGTCGCGGTTTGGAAAGAAAGGGAGAAAACATGGCAGAATAACTCGGCGAATATCGCATTTTACGTAAAATAAAACATTTACTTTTCAATACTGACCAGATACAATACTGATTTTGGTGGAAACTCATTGGTTTTGGAACCAAACTCTTCATATATTAATACACAAAACTGTATATATTTGTACATTTGAAAAGGTACCATCTATCTTGACTGAACTGTATTTGTGAGTATTATTTAGCTGTAACCTGTACATGGTGGCCAACCTTATGTTGCAAAAAAAAAAGTAGGTAACTGATATGACTGAAGCCTTATTTTTTTCTACATCACATATACATCAGGCAAATTATGTCAAAAGTATTTTAAGTATTTAAAAGGTTTTACACTTAAATCAAAAGATTAAATGTGCAATTTCTGTCATCAGTGTCACCAAATGGACTTTTCGTCTTCCATTGGTCAACCAAACAGATAGTCCCACCCACTCCATTGCTTGAGACATTGTTTTTTTGATGAAATGCTGAAATAGTACAGTAAGTGAAACAGTACAGTTTAATATTGCTTCTGCATATTAAAGTTCACTCATAACTGAAAATTGTTATCATTTACTCGCCCTAAAGTTGTTCCAAACCTGAACGTGTTTCTTATGTTGAACAAAAATATTTTGAAGAATGTTGATAACCAAACAGTTGACGGTAGCCATTGACTTCGATATTATTTTTTTCCTTACTATGGAAGTTAAAGGGTTAGTTCACCCAAAAATGAAAATTGGCTCGTGTTTTTCTCACCCTCAAAGCATCCTAGGTGTATATGACTTTCTTCTTTCAGGCGAATCCAGTCGGAGTTATATTAAAAATTGTCCTGGCTATTCCAAGCTCTATCATTGCAGTCAGCGGGTGTTGCAGTTGAACAGTCCACAAGTCGTCAAATAAAGCATGCGCATTCATAATAAAACGTGCTTCACACGGCTCCGGGGGATGAATAAAGGCCTTCTGTAGTGAATCCATGCATTTTTTGTAAGAAAAATATCCATATTTCAAACGTAATAAACACTTTTATATCACTTCCGCCAACTGTCATATGCGGAAGCCGTTCTGGCAGATGACGTAGCACGTCGGCATTGTGTGATAAGTGACGAACGTGGAGAGACAACAAAACAAAACGCTGGTCATGAATTAGAAGTACAAACCGAAGATTTGCAAAGAAAAATGTCGGAGGATTTCGATATAAGCCAAGAGGAGACTGGTTTTCCTTTGCTAAAGTAAGGAAACTTTGCTTCCTTTGCTCCAATAATCAAACTCAGGAGACTAGCATATCTCAGAGGCGCGCGCGCGCTGCACATGCGTCACACGCCTTTCGCGTATGACAGATAACGGAAGTGAGAGAAAAGTGTTTATTTTATGTTTGAAACATGAATATTTTTCTTACAAAAAACGCATTGGATTCACTACAGAAGGCCTTTATTCACCCCCCGGAGCCGTGTGAAGCACGTTTTATTATGAATGCGCACGCTTTATTTGACGACTTGTGGACTGTTCAACTGCAACTGACTGCAATGATAGAGCTTGGAATAGCCAGGACAATTTTTAATATAACTCCGACT